GACAAAAACTGCTTCATAAAGAATATCTCATTTAATCCTCATGGCCCCTAAGAGGCACGTGTTGTCTTTTGCCCTGTTTGGTAGTGGAGGGACCAGAGCCTCAGAGGTGAGCAGCCACTTAATCAAGGCTACACAGTGAGAGAGACTTGAGTCAGAATCTGTCACCCAGGTCTGCCTGGCTCTAGAATACAGGGTCGTGACCTCGTGGCATATCCCTCAGAAGCACTGAAAGGTCTATAGTGTGTTCTGGCATCTAGAGCCCTAGGCATGAGGAGGTTGTTGGGGACTAAGGCACGGGAGGAGGGAAGCGTCTGCTCTGCCAGGAAGTGTGTTGTGTGCTCCTAGCAGCCACAGAATGAGTCGGCCAGCAGTTTGTTTCTTCTGAAGAACAGCTAGTCTGGTCTCAGGGCAAACTGTGAAGTGCTAGTCCTTTACTAGCCATCCCGTCACAGGCAGCCCCTGTGCTGATTGATACCCAGCATGTCTTAAGTTCTGTGTGACTGCCACTTACGCCCTCAGATTTTACAAAGAGCAGTCAGATTCAGCCACCATCCACTGAGTGTTCACCACCTGCCCAGTGCAATCTCAGGACACAGATGAGGAAGAGAGGATGTGATGATGGGGGTGGCGTTGATGACACTAATCACAGTAGCTAACACAGATCAGGTTCTTGTGGGTGCCAGGCAACATTCTAAGTGGGGAGTTTTTAGGGTTTTGTTTTGTTTTGTTTTGTTTTGAGACAGTGTCTTATTTTATTGCCCCAGGCTAGAGTGCTATGGCATCATAGGTCACAGCAACCTCAAACTTTTGGGCTCAAGTGATCTTCTTGCCTCAGCCTCCTGAGTAGCTGGAACTACAAGCATGTGTCACAACACCCAGCTAATTTTTCTATTTTTAGTAGAGATGGAGGTCTCACTCTTGCTTAGATTGGTCTTGAACTCCTGAACTCAAGCAGTCCACCTGCCTCAGCCTCCCAGAGTGCTAGGATTACAAGTGTGAGCCACCACACCCAGCCCATTCTAAATGTTCTATAGGTACTAACTCATTGAATCCTCATTCTAGTGCCCTGCAGTAGGCAATAGTGTTATTTACATTTCCGGAGGACGCTGAGACTCGACAGAGGACAGATCAATTGCCCAGAGTTGCCAAGCTGGCAGGAGGCACAGATTTATGATGGGTCTTCCATATGCAGATGGAAATCAGCCCAGCCTTGGGGACCTATTGTAATCAAGGAGAAATTATAATTGAGTATGATGTGTGCAGTAAGAGCAATATGAGATGATGATGACAGTGGCCGCAATGATGATGGTACTTGTTAGCATTTGCTTAATGTTGGGGATATTTCTCATTGAATTTTCCCAACAGCTCTATAAAGTAGGTTCTTTTTCTTCCATTTTATAGATTAAGAACTCCTGGCTCAAACAAGTTTAAGTTATTGACTAAAGGTCACATGGAAAGTGGCAGGGCAGAATTTGAATCTGCAGTCCTAACTCTGCCTTTGGAGATGGCACCAACTGAGGGCTTGGGGAGACCGCACAGAAAAGGATCAGAGGACAGAAAGAGATTTCGGGGTCAGGAGGGGAAAGGCATTCCCCCAGTAGGAACAGCAGAGGTCAGGGTAAAGAGGTTGAGCCAGGGCCCAGTATGGGCTCTGCTCGGGTGAGTGGCTGGAACACAGGCTCCTCAAGGAGCTTGTTTGGGAACCTGGGTTATTTGGAGACCACGAGGAACCACCTCAAGACAGTGACAGGAACAGATTTCATGTGATCACCTGGAAATGAAATCTAATTTCAGGCTTCTGGAATCACAGAGACAAAGCAACACTATGAATTTGAAAATGGAACCAACTTTGTCATGCCCTGCATGGGAATCCAGTAGCAGTCCTACTTTAGCCTGGCCTTTGAATAAAAGACCCAGTGTGAGTTGAGGTCCAAGTGAAGTCATTGTCATAATAATTTCCTTCTGTCTCCCACTGACTGCAGCTTACTCACACCCTGAGATCTGCACAGAAACCACCATGTGGGAACTGTCCACAGTGGATTTCTGATGGTATTCAACCCCACTACTTGTGTAAGACAGGAAAATGACTCAGAGTCATGTGAACTAGAGCCCGGCTCTGAGCCGGGCAGCTATGACGTCAAGACCTTTGTCTTCTGGACCTCCATGCCCTCCTCCATCAACAAGGAGGCCATGGTGGTTCATAGTGGCCATAAGGGTGGTTCACACCCTTTTCTGGGGCCTGCACCTCTCTGACAATGTGATGAAAACTTTAAACACTCACTTTGTGGAGGAGGAGGGAGGGACAGACACAAGCTACAGAAAGATGCACATTGGATTCAGGGAGGATGTAATGTGCCATTGATCGTCACAACCAGCTGCTCATTCCTAAGCTCCTCCTAAGGCCCAGAAATTCTGGAGTAGTCACTGTTTACTGGTTTCAGGATGGCAGACATACATGGAGCTGGCATTTCTAGTAACTGTTTAGGAATGTAAGTGTGAGGAACCACATTGGCCAAGAGTCCTTTTCAGTGGTTTAAGATGAAAAGGACATGAGTTTGCGCTCTGGGAAGTAGCATAGCCAAGAATCCTTTTCTGTAAAGAGCAAGGAGAGAAATAAAGACAGCCCCTCTGGTACCCAAAAGCTTCTCAGGGTGGAGACTGAGTTAATTGGACATGTAGCCTATAATGTCAACCGTCCTGATATTTTTCCATTAACAGGACCTCAGGGTCTTTGAGAGACCCCCACTGCCAACCAGATAATTGCCTGGCTGACTTGCCCCTGGCTGGGGCCCCACAAATGATTCTCATTTGCAACTCAGGTTGCTCTGGGCAGCCACCAGAGCTTTGCAAGGGAAGCATTATGTCCAGGGCAAGAATGCACGTCTGATCCTTATCTGTCCCGGCTTAGGTTTAAAACCCTGCAGTACCCTTAAGTACTAAGAGGCCTTAAGTACAAAAGCTTCTTCCCTTAATTCAGCCTACAGGGCTCTGGCTGATCTGTCTCCTGATTCTCTATCTTCCTATCTTGATACCGCTCCCTGTTATTCTTATACTCCCACTGATATAATTTACTCCTTCTAGAGCACACTTCTTCCTTGCACTTAACCTGGTCAACTCCCATGCATCCTTCAGAGCTTGCCCTAGACCCCCAGGAAGCAGGGAGCCCTGTGGAGCCCTTGGCATGGATAGCTCTTCAGCTAGAGCCCCTTGGATCTCCGTTGGTCACACATTCATTGTGCTCTAATACCTTGATCCTGTGCCCACCTCAGTCCCTTTGAATGATTTCTGCCCCGTGGGCTTAGTGTTGCTCCAGTCTGATGTACAGCTGTAGCCCCATCCCTGGTGCACAGCAGGGCCTTGGCAGATAGACCTATCCATTGAAAAACAGAGCAAAGGTTACGAGACAGGGGCTGCCATGGCTAGGTAGGCACTTCATGAACAGCAGAGTGCTCTGTGGTGGTTTCACCTGCTAGACTCTGTCTTCTTACCTGTGGGCTGGGATGAATCCAGCCCCACCTGTTTCTCAGGCCTGTGCCTGAAAGAAAGGAGGTGATCGATGTAAAGTACATTGGAGGAAACCCAGGGAAATGCATTCTAACACTATTTTTGAGACTTGGGAGTCTTGCCTCTTTAAAAATCTGTTCCCAAGGCCAATTATTTCTTCCCTACTTAGCCCACCTTCTCTCACCTGGAAACCCAGCCTGATTAGCTCCGCGTTTAATCCATCCTGCAGAGGGACACACAGGCTGGCTCAGCGCTGGCCTCGTTTTTGCAGAGCAGGAGGAATCCTTGCTGAGCACAAGTCAGCCTGTAGCTAGCTTTGGATTTTTCTAGGGGCTTCTCCCTGCGGTCAAGTTAGCCATTGCTGTTTCGCTGCCTGCCTCCTGTCATTGCCTCTGTCCACCTGCCCTTCCCAGACCCAGCACCTCACCTGAGCTTCATTTCATTTGGGCCACCTGGCACTTTCCAGGTTTGCCTGCAGCAGAAAGAAGGACAAGGATCTCCTGCTGAGGGTCCCAGGGACTCCTGAAGGTACTAGGGTGGGGCCAGAGAGTTATAGGAAGAAGCTGCCCAGGTAAGAGGAGTCGGCTGACCAGCCCCATCCTGCAGTATTTACCAGACTTGCCCTCTTGACCCTAGATTTTGGCTGCTGATTAGAAGCAAGCGTGTGCTGGGTGCTGGGTGCAGGGCAGCCATGGCTGTCTGTCTTCAGTTGTCTTAGAAGCTTTTAGGAGGATCTGGGGTAGGTGAGGTGTTTGAAGAAAAAGCTAGAGAATGAGATTTGAGGAAAAACAGGACCTCTGAGGCCTGGGTGATGGGACATGCTGAGCAGAAGCACATGGCACTCCTGTGGTGTATGCTGTGTTGTCTTGAAGTCATTGGCTGAGAGTGCAGGGTGACACCATGGCCCAGGCTTGAGTCCCGCACCCACTCCTGGCCAGCACAGCAGGAAGCCCTGTACTCAGACGGCTGTCCCACTAAGACTGTTAGGGAGAGGGAGGTGACTTCCCAAAGCAGAATTGGGGTATAGTTACTGCAGGAAGGGGGATTGGCTGCTTAGCCATAATGACTAGATGGCCACTGCTGTCCCAGCCGGTCCCCCAGTTTCTCCTGGTAAAACCCATCATGCCTGCCCTCGCACTGGGGAACTCAAGGAGCTCCCCAGTGGCTGTTACACCCCTGATCCTTGTTGAGACTTGAGCCTGTATCATCAGAACATCCTGGGCCCCTTGGGGTTGATAACGTACTTGGAGTATCTTCCATATTGCTCTTTACAGAACATCTTGAACTCTGTCTACAGATCCATCGCACTGAACATTACAGAATGAAAGAGGTCTTCTTTGGGTTGGGACAGGGCAGGAAATAGTGAAGGCTGTAGACTGCCCCTCCTGTCATGGGGCACAACAGAGCAGACAGCCCAATTCTTCAGAAACCACACTACACTCTGGCTGCTCAGCTTACCTCTGACCTCTGACTGGGATGATTTCTCGTTGCTGCAGAAAAGAACACTTCTGGAATGATAAGCCGTCCTGGCCCAGGGAGGATGGAGTGGATCATCCCTCTGATTGTGGTATCAGCCTTGACCTTCGTGTGCCTCATCCTTCTCATCGCTGTGCTCGTTTACTGGAGGTGAGTAAGCCAGACAGCACCTGGACAGTGTGTGGGACCTGGTGCCAGCCAGGTAGCCCATGGCTTATGCATTCAGGAAGGTAGGATAGTTGGAGGGTTTCTAGTCTCGCCACCTAGGAGAACCTCTTGTCTTTGAAAGACAACAGCAGGCCAGAGCCACCATTGAGGTCGAGGCACTGAGGGTGAGCGTCTGGCATTTAGTACCAAAAAGGCTTTTCCTTGAGAATCAGGCAGTTCCCAGTTCAGATTCCAGCTCTGCTGCTTGCTGGATTCAAATTCCATGTCCACTTTGAACTTCACTTTCTGAACTGTGAAATGAGTTAATTGGTTCCATAGTGTTTCCACTTTTTCTGGGATGATGCTTTACTTGGTTGTAGACATATAACTGTTCCTCTTTACCTTAAAATTTTTATAGCCCTTTGCCAAAAATTAAACTAGATGATAGGAAAACATGTAGCATATGGTGTGGCTTTTAATACATGTAAGATAAAAATGGCAGACTGTGAGCCATCCTGCTGTGATCATTATCCTTGAACTGGCTCTCACTGCTCCCATGGGAAGCAGCTTGCAGCCTCTGTGCGGAAGTTGTGTTTTTTTGCTATACCACCTCTGCCAATTGAACTGAGTGGATGAGGCTGGTTACCTTCTCCTGTCAGACTAACATAGGAGGCCTCTGCCCTTTACCCAACAGGCTTTACTGGGAAGAAACAGGTGTCGTATTTCATCTCTCCCTCTCTTCTTTCCATTTACTCAATTCTTTCTGAGCTCCTATTGTATACACTGGTGAGACAAAAGTGAGCAAGACAGTAAAAATCCTTACTTTTAGTGGAGGAGACGGGCAGTAAACAAAACAAATAGCTATAATATGCAATTTCTAAGATGGTGTCCAGCGTGTCGTGGCAAAAACTAAGTCTGTCGGGGTGAGAGGCTTGCAGGGGCTGGGTGTTCAGAGTGGTCAGGGGAGACCTAACTGGGATATGATACTTTAGCAAAGACCTAAAGAGGGAGGAAACCACATGAGCTCCATCTGGTGCAAGTTCCAAGCAGAGGAAATAGCACATACAAAGGCCCTGAGGCACATGCACTTTTGGTATATTCTAGGAACAGCCAGGAGGTTGTTCATTGGCTGAGCACATGGGTACAGGGAGAGAGTGGTAGAAGAGGATGTCAAGTTAGGAAGAAACAGGGCCAAGGAGGATCTAGTTGTGTGCAATATACGTGAGACTGCTGGTAACACATTGCCTTTCAGCCTAAGATGAGCAGGGCTTGGTACAGAAGTGTGTTACGGTTTGACTTCAGGGTTACTTGGCTGCTATGTTGAACACAGACTGGAAGGGAGCAGGGGCAGAAGCAGAGACTGTCAGGGAGATCCCTGTCAAGAAGAATGTGATTGTGGCTCAGAGGAGGGTAGCAGTGCAGGGGAGAACCAATTGACTGTTGAAATATTTTGAAGGTGAGAGCAAGAGAATCTGCTGATGGACTGACGGTGTGTCCTTAGGTCTGTCTCAGTTGGCCAGAATAGGGACATAAGGAAGGGAGCATCTCAGGTTTGCCCAGCTGTCTGACAGTAGCCGTAGGACCGTTAGTATTGCAGACTGCTCATTCATGGAGTCTATTGTGTTTGGGAATAACCAGAGGAACACTAGACTCACCTCCATGTCATCCCTCTTCCAGAAAAAAGTGGTTTGCAAATGTGTGCCTGAAACCTGTTAGGAATTTGAAGGCCACCTAATGTGAGTTTAACGGAACATATAAAACAACAAAGGCCCACTTGCCCTCGGTTCTGCTTGGTGCTGCCTGGTTAGTCTCAGACTTTCCCCATAGGGGAGCAAAGAGGTCCCACCACTGCCCCAGGCTGAGTGATCTGGCTTAGCACTCCCAGCATAAAGAAGTACTTTGGACCAAGCAGAAACCTCAGAATATTCCTGAGTGGCCCACCTTGCGACCTCTGCCTGTGCCCTCTGTCCAGTGTGAACAGGAAGGACCGTGTGGCTGAGCCAGCTGGCCAAAGCATGCTTCAGTGCATGCTTCTTGTAGGAAAGGGCTGTATAAAGACAGCTTTCAAGTCTTTCCATTCAAGATGTACTTTCCCTTTAGAAAATGACAACTGTTTATACTTACAAAGAAAACAGTAAGTCCAAATGGAAAATACGAATTGAAGATTATATTAATAGTTCACATCTAAAATATTTTTATGACATTTATTTAATTTATATATATATATATATATTCCCCCCCCCAAAAAAAAAGTTGGGTTTAAAGTAAGCAGAGCTGTAAACTCCATCTATTAGAGTCTGGATTTGAGCTTCTACCAAAACTCTAATGCCAATAACCAAAAAAATGAATGTGAAGGAGGAGATTCTTACTGAGCAAGGAAAGTAAAATTGAATTAGTGTATGGATGGGTTGGCTAAGCAGACAGCCTAGAGGGGACAAAGACCTTTTTTCTACCCAGCCTTTTTTTTTTTTTTAATTATTAATGTGAAAGAAAGAAGGATCGGGCACCTCACGTGCAAAAGTGGTGAACAGAGAAAGGATACATATTTCCCTTTGGCAGGACAGTTTTGAAGCTAGAACAAAAGCGCTTCTCTGCCGCCTCTGAGACACAGTGAGAGGGGTGCCTGGCAGCTGACTTGACATAAGTAGGACCATCGAGGCAGATCAAAAACTGCTGTATCATTTCCTCAGGCGACAGGCCTGGGGTTCAGAGCAACTCGCTGTGGCAGGAGTTTCTACGACAAGCAGGACTGGTCCTTCACAGTTACTGCTCTGCTTTCTGAGTGGTTTATTTGGCGTTGTTGACTGTGCTATTTAAGTTTGTGAAATAGCGGAAAACTAAACCCAGGGCCTCTGAATTCTGTCTCTGTACCAGTCTCCCACTGTGCGGTGGTGGTAGTGCCTGCTCATGCTCAGTGAGTCCTTTTGGGAGTGCTAGGCACTGTGCCAAGCGCTGGGGCGGCATCATCTTGTGTGATTCTTACAACCAGTCTGGATGGTACTGTTCCTACCCCCTTTCCTTTGACCAGGGAAAAGGGAGGGAATTCACATGTGTTGAGTGCCTGCTGTGAGCCAGCCTGCATGCCGTATCATCTCCCACTGATGACCCTGGCTGGAGCCCTTTTCTTTTGCAATTGACAAAAATCCATTTCAAAATGCATTAAGCACAAGGAAAAAAAAGTTTGTGGATTCAAAGAATTGAAAAATTTGGGAGCATCAGGCCTGGCAGGATTAAGACGGAACAAGGACATGATGGCTTAGCTGGGCTAGTCTGTCTCTATTTCTCTTGCTCTCTGTTTCTGAGATCTGCTCCGTATGGCTTCCTCTCTGAGGCAGGCCCCTCTGCCAGCATGCAGTGGCCTCTGGCTATGTTAGACTTAGATCTCTCCATCCCAGTGGAAAGAGAATTGCCTCTAATCATTCCACTTCAGTCCCAACAAGGCATGTCTGAGGACTGACTAGGGTCATTTGTCCATCTCCAGTGGCCAGAGAGATAGAATGCTCTGAAGTCCAGAAGTAGGATCAGTGCCATTGCCATCAAGACCAGGGACTTTGTCCCTGAATCACCAGGCCCCAAATGGTGTGAGCAGCTTCCTATTACTTCCACAATTCTTGCTGAGTTCCTGCCACACACTGTGCTGGGCTTGGTGATTCTGGGATGAAGTCCTGTGGTCCTCACAGGCCACTGGAAGGAACAGATGAGTAAATATGACAGAAGATGGGGAGTGTTTTAGAGAAAGGTAAGTCTGAGTTGCCACCTACATAGGCAGGGCTTCAGCCCAGCCTGGGAGGGGGACTGGGTTTAGGAAAAGCTCCCTGGAAGGTCTCACGTCTGAGCCGAGTCTTGAAGCAGAAGCCCCAGTACCCCAGGTGAAGGGGGCGCGGAGGGATGAAGCTGCAGAGGGGAAGTTTGGCCTCCTGCAGGCAGAAATACTCATATGTAGTCAGTGTTGCTGGAACAGAGTATGGGGACAGTCAGGGCCAGATCATAAAGGCCGTGGATGCCACCTAAAGGGTTAGGTGCCTTACCCTGGGGTTGATTGAAAGGCCTTGAAGGAGCAGAAGCTGCAGGAGGGCAGGTTCAGGAAGAGGTGCTGTTGCGTGCAGACACCAGGACTCAGGCCCAGAGCCGCACAGCCTGGGTCTAGAGCGACACTCCACAACCTTCTCTACCAGGGTATCCGTAAAGCCCGCATTCCTAACTGGGAGCTGTCATCCCCCAAGGGATTAAAATTGGTCTAGGGAGATTTTTTTTAAAGACTTCTATGTTGTGTAGAAAGCACAGATGTAAAGATGGCCTGTACCCAGATAGACTGTGCCCTTGGGGCATTAAAATTGCACTGGGAGTGGGGGAAGAGGGATAAAATGGCGAGAAAGTCTATAAAGGCCCCTTGGAGGAGATGCTGGTGAGAAATAGGTCAAAAAACCCCACTTTAGACGAAGACCTCCACCAGCTTCAGCTTCTTCGTCTGTAGGAGAGAATTAAGAAACAGCCCACAGGGTTCAGGTGAGGATTCGGTGCAGGAAAGGCTCATCCCGGGTCCTGGCAGAATCTGCAGAATCTGCAGTCAAGAGTGTTCTGACTTGAGGCAAAAGGAGAAATGTAACTCTGGGTCCTGGTGTGCCTCAAATAACTAACCACACGTATATATCTAAATGAATGTTGTCCCTTAAATGGTATCCCATTGTGTGAGCTGTGTACAATTTCCAATACGTGCATAACAGGTCCATTGCACAAAACATGCTTGAAAATAACTTTAGGGATTTCTGTCTGAAGTTCATTTTTTTTTTTTTTTTAAGGATATCAGTTGTGCGAAGTTTTTATCCTAGAAATAGCTAAAAGTCATCTGTTTGGAGCTAAATATAGTATAAATGTAGGTTAACCAACTGAGCAGAACCACGGTAGGCCAAAAAAAGAAAGGGGTGACTATGAAGTTAATGAAATTGAAATTGGTTTAAGTGGTGCTCCTGCGGGGCCAAAAGGCAATTCCTGAGGAGGACATC